GTGTTTTATACTTTATCTAACTCTTGACATTAATTTCATTGTTATTAACAGTTTATTCAGTTATATTGAAGAATTGAGGTATTTTTCTGTCTTTCTCTTTTATCCTCTTCCTTTTTCAGTTTTGCACTCTTTGCCCATTTTTCATTATATGGTTTAGTTGGAGCAATTCTGAACACTTCCTTTTAAAGATTAAGATGTCTTCCAAGAACATGTCTAACTTCTGCCTTCCTATATTCATATGTGACTATATTTGTATGTGTCAGTCCTAAATCAAACACAGAGGCATGACCAACCCCTGCTGGTCAAACCTAGGGATACACACACACACACACACGGGCAAACACACACTCAGGGCCAAAGCCCAGGCAAGCGGAACAATTGCTGGCCTCTAGAAATCATTTAGAAACTCTTTTACATCACTTCTGACCAAAATAAGCAGTAGAAGTGCATTTAATAGCGTTCACATCTGTGTGTCTGTGTGTGTGTCATACCAATGAAAAAACAAACACAGCCATTTTTCCCCTCTTTCATGCTCGACTGCAGAGCGACGCAATTCTAATCCGGACTCACACGGTCATGAAACTACAGGAATTCGGTGCGAGTTTAATGCTGGACACAGACGCACACACATCTGTAGCCTGTTACTGAAAGCAGAGAGGTTATTTCAACAGGGTAATGGAAATAATGGCTAGCAACACACGTATGCTGACACAAAACACATTTACACACACACACACACACACACACACACAGAAAGAGAGAGAGAGAGCTAGGAGGTACAGTGCCTCATGCTGACCTGTGTTAGTGTGATGAGGTGCAGTCATAAAGATAAAGATGAAATTTGAATCTGAGTGGATCCACATGATACGCCGTTGTGTGTGTGTGTGTGCGAGAGAGTGTTTCGCTATATACAAAACGATTTCTGGAAATGTCATTACAAATATACTAAAACTTTTTAAATAGGGGTTTTAATATGAGATGTTGAAAATAAATAGAAGATAATTGTAAAAGGTGAAGCTCAAAATGACTTCTGTTGGTATAATTTAGTATTTAATTCAAATGTATACAATATTATTTAATATTATAAATCAATTTTTTAATATTGAGCAAAACATGCATGTAAAGGATTTTTTAGTTACTTGACAAAACTTGTTTTTAAACTTTATAAGCTTCATTAAAAAAAAAAAATTAAAATATACATGTAAAAACTATATACCGGTAAGTCATTTTAGAAATGTTTGATCAGGGCCCGTATTTATCATGCTTCTCAAAGTGCCATTTTAGTCTTTAAGTGCTGAGAATTCAAGAAATGTACTACTTTCAAACTTAAGTATAAAAGCAAGTTATCAAATGTCTTAAAGCGAGTAATCACTCTTACTCTCCCACACTTATTTAAGAACTGGAGAGGACTATCGAGTGGTTAGAAGTTGCCAGGAGGGGCTTGTGCTGACACTGAAGAGACGTGCGCAAATCTTTCAGAAGAGTAAGAATGTTATTGAAATGTTTGACAACGAGCAGTTAAAGAGGCTACATGCGTTTCCTGAAATTTAAACTCGTGACTGACACCTGTGGCCAAAAAACAGAAATGCTCTTCCTTCCTGCTCGCTCTCGCAGCGTGTTTGTGCACACTTCACAAGTCATCTGCTGCAAGGTGGTCAACATTATGTTTACAGAGGTAAGAACAGTCAAATACTTATTGTTTGAGATAAGTGTTCTGCTTGCGACTCGAGTGTAGGCTACTTGCTGACTAGCGGTGGTGGCAGATTGATCTGAAACGTTTAACATGAACGCGCTTGACGTCACGTCCGCAGACGGCGCGGGAAAATATACGGTATAGAGTAATGACAAATAAAAATCGCTTGTTATTACCACCAACAAGGCTCAAAATAGCCCCACAGTAACACTGTAGCATAATAAGGGTCCCTACATCCAAACCGAAGCATTGAGAACTTTGTCAGTGTCCATACAGTTTAATAAGAAGATGTTTTATACAGACACAGTCAACTTCGCGAATACAGGAAGAAGCCATCTTTGAAAAATAGTCTCTACCAGTCGATCTACGAACGCTGATCCAAGTGCGCTGAACTGTGCAGAATCTCATATGGTCCGTTGTTTCCAGAAGAAACACAAACCATTTTCTACTCTTCAATATGTACATGTAGCCTACTGTTCACACTCACCTTATTCACATCTCACCAGCGCACTTGGATCGGCATTCGTAGATCTTATTAAAATCTAGATTTTATATATTTATCATTTTACATTTAAGTGAAAAGTATAAAAGTATATAAAAAAATCAATAACTGCACTCATTGGAATTACTGCAATACTGCATAATGTGCTTTATGTTGGTGTCAGAGTCATGTTTGTCATGCTTGGTCAGTTTTTTTCCTTGAGTATATGTTCACTGACTATGTTCACCAGTGAATCATTATGTTTCTCTGTGTATTTAAGCCCATAGTTTCCTCAGTTCTTTGTTTGGTCTCGTTTGCATTTATATTGATGTGGTTGTGATTTCTTATTTCTGTATTTTACTGAGTATTATTAAATATAATACATATACTTCCATTAAACATAGTTCTCCTTCATGGTGCGATAACAGCCACCAACCCTGACTAAGACCCCATCACTATGGAACTGCTGGCCGTCCAATTGCTTTGTCTTGAGCAGAACAGAAGGACCGGTCCGAATCCGGAACGCTCGCTTTGCATTCTACGATCCTCGGGGAGATTTTGCCGCATATGTGGAGTGGGTGCTGATGAATAACAGATCAGCATTCACCATCTGCCCCACTGAGGACATCACCAGCACCCAAGGACCTGAAGCCCCAGCCAGCCACCTCCCACACATTGTACGGAAGTAACGCCAGAGCCCACCATAGACAGAGAGCCAGAGACTGCCGCAATGCACAAGCCAGCGCTTGAGAGGAGGACTGAGCCAACCATCAACAACAGAGCCGAGGCCCACAGAGAGTCTGACCAGGTGCATGAGCTGGCAACACTGTACATTGCAGTGGAACTGCTTGTGAAATACAAGGGCATGGGGTAAAGCCCCGCCCACACACCAAATCTGTGAGTAAGCTGCAGCTGGCCCTGCAAATATTTATGAAGATTTGGAAGAAGATGTTTCCCTGATTCCCATCCGTGCTGATCCCACCAAACTCTAAGTCTCCTGTTTCTTAATCCAGCTCAGTGTCTCCAGAGGTAGCCTCCCTCTCCCATCTCCTCTTCCAAAACAGGCCAGCCTGTCAACCTTGCCTCTGCTGATTACCTTCAGACCCTCAATTTCTCGAGTGGATTTATTGTGTGGATCTGCCTCTTGTCTTCTAGTCTCCAACTCAACCCAGCCAAGAGGGTCTCCTGGCTCTGCCTTGAGGCTCTGAGTCAATCACTCCACCTCGGCCTGTTAACCTGTCAGCTCCACCTTGACTCTTCCCTCCATCAACTTGACCTGGGTCCATCGTCCTTATGGGTCCACTGGGCTCCTTCATCCCTCCAGCTATGTCTTGGTCAGATGTCACCCTGCCTTAGACTTAGGGCCTTCAGCTACACTTTGTTCCTTCGGTTCTGTCGAGCTCTGTCTTCCCATCGTCTCCACCTAGGTCCTTGGTTTCCCTGTCTCAGTCTTTTGGCGCCCTAGCTCCACCTCAGGCTTCAGAGCCATTGGTGTTGTGTGGTCACATCAGCTCTTGTTTGCACCCTGGTCTCCTCTTCCATATGCTCCATCTCCATCAGTTGTCCTGGTGTCGTCAGCCAAGTCTCCACCATACCTCCTCCCTCCCTTGACTCCGCTATGGGCCATCGCCCTGGCTGTGCCCTGCGTCTCCGCTCGGTGTAGTCTGGGGCTCAGTGTCCCCTTGACTACTCCTGCTCCTGGCTCCTCCCATCATTCTCACAAGCCTGGTTTCTCCCACCATCAACTTCTTTTCCATCCCTTTGCCAATTTCGTTCACCTCCAGAGCCCCCACCCTCCCTCCTCTGCTGGACTGTATACAGCACGAGGACGTGCCTTGCGGGAGCGGGGTGTAATGTTAGAGTTAGGTTTGTTTCTTGAGGTTCAGTTTAGTCCTGATTAGTCCCTAGTTTGTTCCCTTGGTTACTGATTCCCTTGGTTACTGATTGGCTCCCTGCGTATTTAAGCCCTTAATTTACTCTGTTCTTAGTTCGTTCTCGTTTGCGTTTTATGTTTACGTGGTGGTAGTGATTCTTATTTCTGTACTGTATATTCCTGAGTATTTGCTACTAAATGAGTTCCTGTTGAATTCTCCTTCGTTGTGTGATTTCTACAGCCGACAACCCTGACAGAGGTAACATCTAAATTAATTGATTGAATTGAAGTCAAAACAAAAACATTTAACGTTATTCACTCAACCAATCAATGTAAATGCATTGTTACATCAGCAAAATATAAATGTAATAAAACAGGAGAATCAGGTCGACATCTGTTACTTCAACTAGCTTGGCAAGACAAAACCATGCCTGCGAGTTCAGGCTTAATAATTTTAATGTAAAAGGAGATGCTCATAAAACAAGTTTAATCATGTGATCCAGCCCTTAGGTGTCGTAACACCTTAAAGCAACAGACAATGAACGTAATCCCTTAGCCCATGAATCACAACTCACAATCTAGGGAATTATTAGTTATTATTCCACTGTGGTTTCAGTCTTATGATCTACTCTGTCCAGCACTAACAGAGACTTTCATGTGGGGTGTCTTTAGTTGTTTTACAGTCACCAGTTGATTTGGTGTTGTAATGGGCGTACTTGCTTATTTATGTTGTACGACTTCTCCAGATGGGTCAGTGATTCAGAGCCTTGATATCATAAGACCTCTTCCGTTAAATCTTCCCAAGATTTCACACCCTCCCTTCAAAAAATGCAGCTGTGGGGGATTATATGGAGAACGAAGAGGCTGATGTGAGCCTGTAGCTTTACGCAACCGGCAGTGTAAAAATACGACAGCTTGTGATTGGTTTGTTTAATGGATTCATTGGGAAAACAAAAGGCTGACATGATGAGACTACACCCACGTGGGAAAGAAGCCCTCGGCTGATATCAAAGGAGCGGATAACCAACAGAGGATTGGCAGAACTCCGGGTTGCACCCAATGATTGTGTGTCTGACACAGATGCCAAACGTTGTGTTTACCCCACGCTGAGCGCCATCCATCAGCCTCAGCAGTGCTCTTCACTGGCCTCCACCTACAATGACAAAGAGTCGTGGCAAGCATTGCAAAATATCTCTGAACTGTTCGTGATGTGTATGAGTGTGTGCTCCGATATCAGAATAAAAACACTTCTACAAACCTGTGCTAAGTGGAAAGAAGACAAAGATGTCTCCATTGACTCATCATTCATCTCTCAAGTGAGCCATTGTTCATTTCAGAAAAAGGGGGGAGGATGAAAAACGAGTTCACGATATGCATTTAAACGGCAATAATATTACTGAATGCAACGTTCATGGAACAAGCAAAGACGATACATAAAATCTTGAGGATGTTTAATTAAAAAACACTCTAATTATACAAAGCAGGACATCAATAGCAGAAATCCAGTCATTAAAGCCAACGTGCCAATTAGAGCATATGTCAGCCATCCGAAACTGCTAACTGAGCTGCTATGGTAAAACAGCAAGAATCAATAAAAGAAAACTTTATGATTTGCCCTGAAACGCTCAGTCACCACAAATGACTGTATGACTCTGCTGCCTGGCCTGCTGGAGCTTTTATTATAGAAACTGCACATTTTCAACTGCTTATCTTTTTGTAATTGATGTTTACAGTTAAAATGTATACACAGTACACACTACCGTTCAAAAGTATGGGCTCAGTATGATAAAAAAAAAACTATGTTTATTATTTTTATTTGAAAATGTTGATTATATAGCACTTTAAAAAGTGAATTAATGAAATTAGCAAACAGCTCTACATTATGTAATGCTTGACAGCTCATTAGAAAAGTTATATAATTGCCATTATTATATAAAATTTGCATTATATAAGTTTATTAATGACTTAATACAAGTTATTAGTAACTAAAACTATTAACTATTTTAAAAAAATACAACAAAAAATGCTTCTGTAACAATACATACAGTAGAACAGAGAAAGATGTTTCACTAGAAATGTATACATATATTTACTTTCCATTGACTTATGTTATATACTAAGCTAATAATATTGTCCATCATAAACCTGACCACCACAGGCATCATTTTACGTCCTCATCAAAATATTAACAATATGGTGAAGTTGATTTTTTTGGTCCTCACACCATTTGTAATTTGAGGTTTTAATATGCTTGTTGGTACATGGTCCCCCACAATGTAGTCAAAATCTGAACACGACACACACACACACACACACACACACACACACACACACACACAAAGCGACAAGTATGACAGAGTGATGATATTTGAGGAAACTCTCAGAGGTAATAAAAGGGAAAATGAGTTCCATTGCACAAAATCATCATGATTCTCTCTTTCCCTCTTTCCCTTTCGATCTCAATCTCTTCCAAGTAGAAAGCAGCAGAGATGGCAGAATAATGAGCTCTTACCTAGTTTGAAAGTCCCTCTCACACACATACACAGAAACACACACAGAGAAAAGAGCCAAGGCCTTGGCGGCAGTCGACAGAGACTTCAACAGCAGTGAGAAATATCAGTCTTCGCTTCTAAACGCATATAAAACGTCTGGAAGCTCTTTTCACTGTCACATAGTGTGTGTGTGTGTGTGTGTATACGCGTAAATGTAACACACTTTAACCCATCTGCTTGCCAGACACTACACAGAACCCACTGCAGAAATAACTTAAGACTAAATGAAAATAAATGCCCCTCATCATTCTCCATCATCAAATATATCAGCTCTCTCTCTCTCTTCCTCTGAGTGTGATGGGAGTTCAGGGATGTTATGCTCTCTCTCAGGACTACATCAATCAGCCCTGACCCGCCTGGTGGGCTCAGAGTGTGTGCTTGTGTTTTATCTTCAACAGTTTGCATCTACTGAGATATCAAAGAGAGAGGAGGGAAAGTGGGAGAGGTTATTTAAACAGAGAGACAGAGAGAGAGAGAGACTACAGTATGTGTATGCATGTTGAGTCAGCACTTCTGCATTTTTTTAGTGAAATTACTGGATGTCTGTGGTGTGTGTGTGTGAACATGACCAGATTACTCATTTTATACTCATTCCTCTTCTGCTCATCACTGTTAATCAGACACGTCTTAACTCAACCTGCAATTTTGTTATTAGTTTGCAATTGAGAACTAAAAAAGAAAAGGTAACACTTTGCTTTGTAATAACTTGTTTAAAATTCAGAACCTGCACAGCACATTTGCTTTGTTGTTTTAGTTAATGATGTCTATTGGGAAACAGCAATTTCATAAACTGTGCATGGCTACCAAGGACTAAACTGTCAAGAACATTTAGATGTGTCATGCCTATTCACATGCCTCCTATGGTTTTTCAGCCAAGTGGATTTTCAATGCAACTTGACATGACAAATTAAATAAAACATATGAAAAATTAACTTAAAGGTGGGGTAGGTAGAAATTTAAAAAAAAAAAAAACCCCTCAGTATTCTGAAAAAGAAAGTACACAAATCGGGTGTCTGTAGTCCTCTCAGTGCTACAATAAACACAGCTCATTATTTAATTCACTCCCACCCACTCCCATCTGGGATCCTTACAAAGCCACACCCCCAAAACACATGAAAGGCTGGTAGTACTCACTATCAAGCTAGCATATCGATACTGGTGGTAATGGTAAAGTTTCAAATATATTGAGTTTGATTCGGTAACGAGCTAGTAACATAAAATCTAAAAACAGCAAAGCTAAAACAGGTTGCATTGATACACATTGTCCCGTTACCATCAGTTACACTGTGATGAAGGTGAATTTCGTGTAAGGTTCATAACATATATGGTGTTTTACATGTAATGCCGAGTTCAGACTGCACGATTTTAACTCGCCGACAGGTTTTGATAAATCGCCGACAAATGCCCGAAATCACAGGCAAATCGGCGCTCATTCACGCGGGTGACAATCATGCAGTGTGAATGAGCAAAGACGCGATCTGAGAGAAGATATTTGGCATGCTAAATATCTGGACCTGTCGGCGATTCAACATCCTGCTGTGTGAAAAGTGTTCTGACTGAAAACTACATCGGCGATTACTGACAGCCAATGAGAGAGCAAGATGCAGAGCAGTGGGGAGTTCGGGGAGGAGTTATGGATCACATATCATCAACATGCACGGCATTGTTTCAGAAAAAAAGGCTTCTTCTCGGTCTATTTGGACCCAAGAAATGGAAGGAAAACTTGCAGAAATTTGACAGGAGCACCCGTGTCTGTTTGACGTTTCATTTGAGCTGTACCACAACCAGGTTGAAAATGAAAAATTCTCAGGTGAGAACTCTGGCTCGCACGTTTGTGGTTGAGTTGTTTCCATGTCACATCTCACGTGTTTGTTGTGAAACGTAGGACTACAGACACTAGACACTCGATTTGTATACTTTCTTTTTTCAGAGTACTTACATTTTAATTACAGTATGTATTGGTATATATAGACAGTTTCAATTTGGGAAAAAGATTTTTAGAAAATTTCTACCTACCCCACCTTTAAAGTAAAAAAATAAAAAGTCTACCCACCCTCATGACACAAATTTTAAAGTTAATATTACACATACAAAACAAAAACGTGACAATTGGCTGTCAAATTCAGTAGCAATATTTTGTTTAATTTATTAAAAAAAGTTTCACTGACATTTTATTAACTTTCTAACTAAGCACTCTTAAGATCAAAATCATCAGAGTATTTTAAGTCTCTTTTGGACTGATGAGAAAAAAAGTGAGTTGGTATCGCCGGCACGACCGCCGATCCCAGGGAGTTAAGCAATATTACAAGCAAGCAAGAGTGCTGAACCAGCATTTTTGTAATTAGTTTGCAAAAGAGAACCAAATTGGACATGATTCCGAGTTTGATATTGTCTTGACACAACAGTATAATAAACAAGAATTTAATGGGCTCTATGCACGGCGTTATTTCCGGTGAAGCATTAGGGATGCTCGATAACTTCAGCCGATCATAGAGTCCAATGCAATACCGAGAATGTATATTGAATTTTATACTCCATAGCTATACTAATGAAACGTTAGTCACAAAAACAGATAAAACAGACACCCCTCGTTGCTTTTATGCTTCTTTTTAAAATTATATTAAATAAACATAACTATATATAAAATTACATCTAAACGTATGTACGTTTCGTTTCAAAGACGGGAGGACAGCAAATATTGAAGACTCTGCCATAATCCCGTTTTCTCCGGTTTTCCTCCGCTTTAATCTACACAACCGGAAATGGACGAGCATCCTTACGTCAAATGCGGAACTTATGCGTGCATATAGCCCATACTGAGTAACTTCCATTTGATGCTTAATATGGGAGTTACGTTAAAAATGTTTTGACAATGACAATGAAATTATTTCTAAACCTATACACATCCATTGAGCGTCTTTTGGCAACACACAGGCTTTTCATCCACTTAAGTGAATGATTCAATGACTCACTCATGAAGCCTGTCACTTGCTTTGTTCTCAAATGAATCAGTGTTTTTGACCAATTCGGTTGAATTAATGATTCAATGTCTCTTTCAAATACAGTAACTGTTATATAAAATAGATTGGGTCATATGCTCAAATGTACCAAACTTCAGAAACAACTTCTGAAACCTCTATACTTGAATTATACAAACGAACAAACAAACAAACCCCTTTTCATTTATGCCCATTTAAATTGCGTGAAAGAGGAACATGAATCCATATCCAGTTTGTCTGTTTCCTTTTAGTTACAGTTGTGAGCCAAATAAAAGAGCTGCAGTGATGGCTGTGGAACACCTGTGGTGTGCCTGTATGTGATATGCCCATTGCACAGGAGAGTTCTCACTTTACAGCACACGCAGGAGTCTCTCTTGATGAATTGTCTGTGTAAATCAGATCGGCATAAGTTAGAAACATCTGTGGCATGAAGATCTAACCAGCACAACTTCCTTTATGTCAATGAAACAGTGGCACTCGCATCCTCAGAGCAGAAACCAATATCTACTTTCTGATGATCTTTTGATGAAATATGTAGCAGGCTGCAGTGATGTAAACTTTGTTTATAGTACGGCCTGCTATGGATTTCATCAAAACTTTGT